TTATTAAAACTAAGAATAAAATAAAATTAGAAGACTTTTAATAATGATTATAATAATTATTACTTTAATAATAAGGAATCCTTTTTTCTTCTCTATACACTCACACATGTATTCTTATAACTTATTTACATGTGTTAAGACAAAGAGTACGTACATATATAAGAACCCTAAACTTTTACAGAACCTAATTTAGGAACAAAAAAAAAAGAAAATACAAGAAACCTACAATTCTTTACTTTTAAGACTGTTTTTCTTTTGTTTGTAAATTTAGCTTTTTAAGTCAAAAAAAATAAATAAATAAAAAAGAAAAAAAAAATTCTAAATTTTGCAAGGAAAATACAACTACAAGCAAGTAGACAAAAATCTTACATATCTTTTTCTTTGTAAAAACAAAATTTAAGAAACAAAATAAAAAAATGGAAAAATGGAAAGAAATTTTTTATGAACCAGAGGAATGAAAGTAGAATCTCCACCCTCCCTCTCACATTCAACAAACAATATAAACAGACCTTCTCAAGAAATTATTTTTAAAAGGATTTTGATGAAAATGTGCCTATTTATGAATGTTTAAACAAATTAATAAAAATTTTAACTATACTTGTACTCGCAATAAGAATAAATTTAACTATATAGAAAATAGTAAAGGAAAAAAGGAATTAGGTGGAAGACACATTAAGAAACCATAAAAATAAGGAAAATTTAGGAAAAAGGGGTATTTACTGGCTGTGAAAATTAATTAATGTAGAAATTAAAAATTTAAGGAAATTTAAAAAAAAAAGATTATTTTAGAATTGTCATAAACATTAAATATTAAAAATTCATTTATTCAAATAGCAGTAGTACAAAATTGATATACATATATTATTATGAAAATGCTAATACCGAAATTTTAATCCAAGTGCTTGTTGGGAAAATAATATACTACCATTAGTAAGAATTACAATTCGAATATTTTTTTGATTAAAACTGTCCGCCTTTTTGAAAATAACTAAAACTTTAATTTCTTTTTGAAAATAACTTAAACTCTAATTGAGTCCCATTTACAATTAATTTTATAAGAATAGGATCAAAAATTCTCATTTTTCTTAAAAATTAAAAATTACATAACAAATTTTTTATAAATTTAAAGAAATAATAAGATAAAAAAGTTAAAAAGCGATCTCTTGTTTCTGCCAAGAATTACAACAATTAATTTTATTTACCAAAGAGGAATTTTCACTCCAAGCGATTTTCAAAAATTGTCTAAATTAACACTTTTACTAAGAAGTTTTTTTTTTATTGCTTTTCTTCCTAATAAGCGCGGAAATAAAAACACAACAATTTTTTTTCATTAAATCAAAAACTCAAATAAAAAATTTTATTTACAATAAAGAAAATTTTCTTTTTTAATGAAAAATTCGCAAAATGAAAGTAATTTTTCTCTCATCTTGGTTAGTGTTCTTCTCAATTTACTCCAAAAAGGAAGAAAATTTTCCAAAGAAAAACACGTGTTAATTTTTTTAATTTCATTACTGTTATGTTTTTCTTATTTTTGTTTTGTATTTTTCTGTATTTTTATATTTTTCTGGTGCTATTTTGTTTTTCAACATTGAAAATTCTATTGAGAAACACTAAATACACGAGAAGACAAATTAATTTATTAAGTAAACAGAATTTTACGCCTTAATGTATGCAAATAACCTGCTTAAATTCAATTTATGTCAATTTAGCGTAACGGGGGCAAAATATAATTTTGTAAAACATAAATACATAATATATAATATGTATGTACATATGTATATCTAATAGTGAAATATTTACATTCATGTATACAAATAGATATTTTTAATGTAATTGTAAAACGTTTATTAAAAATTCGTTAACAGTTTACGAATCATCAAAATACAGTGTAGCATAATAAGTTTAGAATTGTAAGTTAATTTTAGAATACAAAAGAGTATATTCGTAATTTTGTAAATAAGACAAGGATTTTTGAATAATTTATTGTAGAATTTTAAATTTAACTTCTAACCTTAAGCCCAAAACTTTTGCAATCTCATCAGCTATCAGAAAGGAAAATGTAAATGTTGGTGTTGTTTCTGACTAAAATAAAGATTTTAATGCCATCCCGAAATGAATAGCCTTAACTTTGTTCTTATCTAACCGAATTGGTGTTAAATTCTTGCAAATAGTCGGCTTTCATTGTTCATTTTGAAATACTTGCCGTAAAATTTATGTGGCACATATAGGGCAAATACTATTATTAACATTTCCAATAACCACTGTTGTTGATCGCCAACGTCACTCCGAAATTGATGCGTCGAATAGCCTAATCCAGATTTTCCAAGCAGGAATTATCTTAATAAATTTTTACTTTCAAGGTTAAAGACTGTTAAAAATTATATATATAAGCGCAAACACAAACAATTGATGAAAAAGAGAAAATAATTTTTTCTGTTTAATTTAATTCAATTTTATATTTGCCTTTTGTAGATATTGAAAATTTCTAATACTCTTTAGTACACACTTAATATTGATAAATCAAGAAATCAAATGACAAGAAGCGTAATAAAGATAATTTTTAATGAACTCACGTAAAATAAAAGTGTATTTCATTTATTTTCATTTTGTTTCTTCAAAGTCAGATCTAACCTAGATTTTCCTCCTCCCACGTCACAGAATAATTTTTTTTAAATGAAAAATTTTTTGGAGCGTATCTTATTATTTTTTTTTCTATTTTTGTATTACGCAACATATTAAAATTCTTCAATTTTTAGCTAAACAATATAGGAAAAAAATTTTGAGGCACAAAAAATTTAAGTATGAGATAAAAGATTGACGGAAATATTCTTTACTAGAACATCCTTTGCAATATTTGATTATACAGAATTTGTTGTACCGCATAAGTAAAAGTTTGTTTTCAGCGTTAATTATAAACATAGCTCAGGTTCATTATATAACAATACTTTTTAGCTTATAAATTAAAGGATTAAGAAACAAGTTTATTTTAGTATTCAAATTTGATTAGAAAATAATTTGAAAATTATATTTAAATTTTTATTGTAAAAAAAAAGAAATCCTTAATTCTATAGCTCTAATAATTTTTAAATTACAAAAAAAAAAAAACAACTTAAATTTAATGAAAACAAAAATAAAAAAACATTTTTTTATTTAAATCTTTCTTCTCTCTATATATATATATATAAATATTCTTACTTCCAGAGATTAAAACTTTCAGATAAATTGATTTTAATAATATCTACAAAACCAAATTTTTAGTTATTTTTACACGAGCGAAAATACAGTGAAAAAATTCTAAGTAAAAATCAAGAAAATGAAAACAAGCTAAGGTCTTTTTTATTTTTAGAAGAAAAAAACACAACAAAAATAAAATAATTTTCATTATTTTAATTTAATTTTATGGAATGTCGGCCTTTTGTGTCTTTTAAAATGTAGAAGATCAAAAAGAAACGTTTTTTATATGTATAAACATAAATTGAACTTTTGTACACAATACAAAATTATGTACTATGACGTACACATTCGTGGAAAAATCAGGATAAAAACAAATCAAAGCTTATAAGTTCAAATTAAATCATAATACGTATGAAAGTTCTTAATTAAAAGTCTGCTAATAAAAGTTCTTAATTATAAAAGCATGACTGTGTAGTTCAGTTTGGTTTTATAGAAGAGTAAAACGTATTTTATTTCAAGAAGTTCTTCAATTAAACGTCAATTTTTGCAAAACTAACTCAAGTGTAATAACCAGAACTTCACACACTTTGAGAAATGAAACAAAAATAAAATAATGTAAACAAAAATTAAATAAGAATATTGTCCTTTAAGAGCAAAAAAAAAAATAGGAAAATACTAAGTTGCGGTTTACCGAAACTTACAGGTTTCTCAAGGAAGTTACATGCCTTCAAATTAAGAAAAGCGCTTATGGATTTTTATACCAAGGTCGCGATGCATTTACAGTCTAATATATAAAACTTCAGTTTACAAAAATTACATTATCTTCTATAATAAAGTTCAAGTTGAAAGAGAGAAAAAATTCTTATTAAAAGTTGATTTCATAGTGTGCTTTATCTTCGAAAAATTATCTTCAATAACAAGAAATTGGCTCTTAATTTTTCAATATTTGAAATTGATTTTAAACTGTGTATTTAGTTCGCAATTTAACGCGAAACAAAATAAAAACGATAGTTTAGAGCTCATGTAGTACAGATCCAATTTCATAAATAAAGCATTCACAAATGTTAACCAAAGATTTACCTTATTATGTTCGTTTTATTTCACATTACAATAGCAAAAAGTCCATACCAAATTATTTCAACTATAATTACCTGGAACTTTTAAATAATATCCACTCCTAAACATTAACGTATTTGTGTGTCATTTATTATTTCTATTTTTTAGGCAAACCAATTTCATTTCATGCATATCGTACAAAATTCTTTAATTTTTAGTTTTTCCTAAAGAAAATGAACTCATTATGAATTTTTGAACAATTGAAAAATCGTTGCTAAAACTTTCGGATTTTTCATATTTTATTTCAAATCAAGTTGTTTAGTTTTTATTATTCCTTTGCTTTATTTTTTTTAATTAACTTTCAAAAAAGCATGAAGTTTTGTTTTCTTAAATGTCCCAAAATATTTTTCTTTGTGATTTCGCCACTGTTCCGCTTTTTAAAATGAATTTTGTTTTGAAAATTTAAGCACACTTAATGAAAATTTCTGAAATATTTTTAATATAATAGAAAAAAATAATTAGAATTTTTCTTTCTTAATAATAACGGTTGCTTTTTCTGATGTAAAATAAAGAGTTCTTTTTTTCAATTTTTACCCTTCCGAATGTAAGGAAGGATACATGGAATATTCCTGTCCAGCATTAATTTTCAATGAAATATGAAAGTGTACGAATTTATTTTTAGAATTTAAAATTTCTATTTTCACACATTTTTATTAAAAAAATTTTTTTTTAAATGTAACTTTTATTTTTAAAGTTAATTTTTTTTTTAGTTTCAGTTTGTTTTGATTTCAGTCTACTTGTTAAAAAAGTCAGCATTTAATTAAAAATAATTGAAGGAAAGTCAGCATTTAATTTAAAAGAAACAAGAAGGAATATAAAAGAATGATGTCAAATTATTTTGTTTGCTCATAACACCGCAATTAAACAACAAAAGTCTATAACAAAAAAAACACGTTTTAAAAAAATAAAAAGGAAATTCATTATTAGTCACAACCAGTTTATTAGTAGCCACTTTTTTTTATTTAAGTAACTCATACATTGAGAATGAATACCTATAGACTTTGTCTTAATTTAAATGTTGTTGTGGAAAGCTGTAGAACACGAATATTTAATGAACGCACACTTAAAGTTCATTTTAGTATCCTAAATCGTTTTGATATGGTAAAGAACAAGGGAATCTGTGAAGAGAGCTGTTCACAAGTTTAGAGTGTATCTTTTAACTCATGCTTTTCGTATGTGTAAGTTAAAAAAATTGATAAAATATTTAAGTACGTGATAACAATAATTGGAATTGAAAGTTTTTTTTCACTTTTACACACAATCAAGCCACTCTAAAAAAAAACAAGGTTAATTTTTTAAAAACAAAAAATAAACAAGGTTAATTTTTTATAAAAAAAGAACAAGTATATCTGTTAATATTTTATCGACCGGTTTATACCCTGCAAACATCGAAGCACTATGATATCAGGAACAACTTATTGATTTAAGAATAAGTGGGTACGCCAAATTTGTTGTTACAACAATTAGAGCTCTGAACAAATGGTAAATAAATAATTAAAGTAATTTTTTTAATATTGTACAGTTCAAATTTTTAAGTTAAGAAATTTTTTTTTAAATTTTATCTATACTCTCAGCATAATTATATACAAAGTTTGCTTGCGTGAGTAACTCGCGATCTCGTTGAGTAGGTTACGCTTAAAGAGCTCATAACGATCTCCATGTGCCGGAAGAAGAGTAGCTTCAGTTTTGGTACTACATATTTATTTGTGTGGTCATTTGTATTGCGTTCAGATTGAAAAAGATATAGATTTAGAGTGAAAATGAAATTACAGAGTACGAATAATTTATTTCAAATTTCATTACAAAAAACAATAATTATTTTCAAAGAAGAACCATTCTCAAGTAGCTTGCATCTTTGAATTGAGTAAAGGGTGTAACATAATAAGTTTTATCATGGAAAATATTACTTACTTATTCCACAAAGCCATCAAAATTGGTGTAATAATATAAATACAAAATACACAGAAAGTTCTTGCTTAAAAAAAAAATTCTCATATTTTCAACCTTGAAAATTTCAGAATGTGTACTTGAAGAAAAATAGGATTCTATTTTTGTTTAACATTATTTTTCAAAATAGGAATTGATCTCACGGTTGATTTCAATATTAAATATAGAATATAAAGTACCCTTCAAGGAAACAAGTGGGAGTATTTTTTTTTCTTTTTTTGTAATTTGCTTTTATTATTGAATCGATTATCCATTTTTGATAAGAATAAAAAACAACAAACAGAAAGTTTTTTCCTTGTAATTTTTCTGTACTCTTTCTCTTACTGTACTTCAAATATTCTTTCGATTTAATATGTAAACAATGGTTTGGTTTTTAATCAAAAATTAGGTAAAATAATATTCTGAGAAATTTATAATTTAAAAATTTTTTAACAATATTTTTCTTAACCACTGAACAGCAACACGATCATTTATTCAAAGTGGTTTAATTGAAAAAAAAAAGGAATTTTTTTTTGTTTTTTTGTTTTGTAACCTTGCATACTCAAAGGTCTTTGTATAAATTAAATATAAAGGGAATAATGGATTATGAATACTGAGTGCAATAATTGATTACGACAGAACATGAAATTTTAATCTTAAGCTTTTAATTTCAATGGAAAAATTTAAACTAAATTTCTAAAGCGTTGTAAATTTATATAAGCGTTGAGCCTGTAATTTATTACGAATTACTCGAAAAATTTATAAGTAATAATTGACTCTTTCAGTAGTTTGGCGCAAGTACATAAATTAAGTTTTGGTAATTTAATTTAAATTAATAAGTTCTGGAAACAATGCGCTAAAACATTATAATTTGCAACAACCAGTTTACGGTTGTTAAGACCAACTATGTCATTATTTTGTGCACTATTATAGTTCTCGTTACAACTCTTCCTACGTCTTTCAAACTACAAATATAGAATATATCCTTCAATTCTCTTTAAAATATCCTTTGATTACTTTTTCATAATCAAAATCAATTATCACAATAATGAAAATCTTAAAAATCAACGATAACTATTATTTTTAATTTCGAAGCACATTGGCTGGTATTTTGATTCTTTCGCCTTTACAATTTTTCCTATTTTATTTTTTTCTTGTCTTCCTATTGATTTTTCTTTTGATTACTTCTATTACTATTATTATTTTTTTCTGTTTCTAGTGTTTGACAATATGATGCTGATTTATTGCAAATATAGTTACTTCCGTTCAAGGAACTTACATAATTGTTGACATTTGATATTATGAAAAAGCTCTTTTAACAGAATACCCGAACCATACATTACTCGACGTAAGGTAGATTGTTCGAACCAACCGACCGTTATAGTTGGTTATGCATTTCATAAAACAAATTTTGGTTTATAAATCACAACGTTTTTGAGAGCATAAGTTTTGTTACGTATATTATTCTACAAATTTTGCTACTCTTCTTCCGGCACATGGAGATCGTTACTTCTACAAATTTTATATTTCAGGTTTAAAGAAATCTAAAATTCCAAAATGACAGAATATGTCAATTTAATATGCTACATAATATTGTCTACGAAATGGATTAACTCTTCCTTGGAAAAAAAATTCTTTTTATATGCCTAAAACTATTCTATATAATTACTATATATAGCGAATTAAATATGTGTGTACCTACATTATATAAAGTCATAAACGTTATTCAAGACTTTTTTATTTTTATACGGAATATTTTTTATTCCCTTCTTTCCTCAAGATATGGTTCCATCAACATATTATGTACTTGAATTTACTTGCGTATTTAAGCTTTTACCTCTTGCTTTATACACATGATATGATATTTTTTTTAGTTGGATGATAAATTGCGTACTCAGATCACGTATAAGACTTTTTGATGTATAAAGAAAATCGAAATTTTTTTCACCATTCCACGTTTTTTTTTTATAATATTCTTAATGTTTGTAAATGAAAAAGAAGAAGAGAAAAAACCAAAATTTTCAATATTAAAAATATTGTAATACAATAGTTGAATTCAGTGTAAAATATTTCCTCAATGTTATTATTATTTCAGGAAAAGAATAGGATTCAACATGAAACAAGCGATGAAATCATTAACGAGGGATAAAACTTTAATAAATCACACTGCGGACTGTTGTAAAATGAATAAGGAATCTTATATATGCCTTTGTTCAATGATTTATTGTACGCAATCGCGATTATTTTAAAATAATTGTAAATAGAATTTACAATTATTTTACATTTATTCAGGAATTACATAGTGGTCGGCCTTTACCATATATTAATATAATAAACATTTCGATTTTTTGTTGACGAATTTTATAAAATAGATTAGTATATTATGTAAAAGGAAAGGAACGGAAAATCTCTTTGAGTTTATTTTACAACTTATAGATTAACAATACATATAAATTTCTTCTTGGAAAAATTTAAGAAAAAAATTGTAAACTGTTTATTAAATTCATAATATAAATGAGTTCACCCTTATAGAGAGAAATTTTGTAAACAATACACTTTAGGAATTGGTTGATTTCTGAAAGAAAAACAGAACACTTATTAAGCATAACAAACATGATTTAAAATAAAATTCAATAACAAATAACAACAAGAAGAAAACCTAAGAGTAAAAATTGCAAAATTACAAGCACAGCCTACATTAAATACATATATTCTTACGTAAATATACAAAGTAAAAAAAGAATAATATCAGTATAAGTAAAGGATTTCTATCCTATTTATATTGATCCTATTTTATGATTAAATTTGACTTTCATGATTATATTACAAAAAAATATGATTATGAATAAATGCTTTACATGATTTTCTTTTATAATTCAATATTGTTAAGTTTGTTAAATTCAAGCAAGTATGGTGGCTTATGTGGGTACAATGTTTATAAAGAGAAAATTTATTATAATTTTATTTAGTTTATACGATTTAGATTTATCATGTGTATAGTGCAGTAATAAAACAACTAAAAATTAGAATAAATGCAATTTATTGAACCAAATTTCATATACACTTAGTATTTGCAGAAATAAAATGGTAGTACCATACAAATTGATTGGTGCTATAGAATTGGATAGTAAGGAACCTAGTTTTGCAACATTTGAAAGTATGAATAGAATTAATGGAACCACTAAGTATGTAATTGAAAAATCCGAAGGAATCGCACTATAAATAAATTTTTTTAACTTTCTTTTAGAATAAATAATAAAATTGAAAAAAGTAAAATCCATATATTGCGCAAATTAATGCAAGGAATAAACGGATGTTCAAAGTTAATTGTTTTTCAATTTTTTGAGAAATGTACTAGGATAAACTTTAAAAATGTAATATTTTCAATTCAATTTTCATATGTATACGTAAATATACATTTTTATAGTGTAAAGATAAACGCTAACATTTACTTAAAAAGCAATATTTAACAATGGCAGAAATCATACAATTCAACTTTAATAATAATTCTTGCTTTCTTATTCAAAAAAAACAAAAAATATGACAAAACTCAAAAGAGGTACTGCTACAAACACAAATATCTCATACAATATCATAAAATATCCTTTTGATTTCTGCATCATATTTTTTATGAGCATATCTCAATCTTTTTTTATCATATTAAACTAAATTGTTCCATTTTCATTACATAACTATTATAAAGAAAATCCTATTTATTTAGATAGGGAGGTGGGCAGGTAATGTGGCCTCCTAGGTAGATAGTTTATAACAAATATATTTTGTTTTTTGTTTTAAACCCTTTTGTAAATGTACAAACTCAATATGTACATCCATAAGCAAGGAAACTTTAATCTTTGAACATGTTTATTTTGCGTCAATCTAGAGATGAATAACATTCTGAAGGCCAATGTTATAACATTTAAAATGCCCCAGGAAAATTAAGAATTTTAAAAATTTCTACAAAAATACAACGATTTTAATAAAAAGTGAACTTGACTTAAATACTTTCATATTTTTTATAAAGAAATATTTAAATTATGGGACATAATTTAAAATTTTTTATTTAAAAAAATATTTAAATTATAGGAATATTAAAAATGAAAATAAAAATTTAGAAAAATATCAAAAACTGAAATAGGTAAATATTATACATTATATAAAAAAGTTCAAGAATACTTCAGTATAAAGTATAAATATAAGAGAGTGCAATGCACCAATTCTACAAAAAAATTCGAGTTAAAATCCTTGAATTGAAATTTGTTAAATAATGTTGGCAGACTGCTTATAAAAACAATTTCATAACAAAATCCTTTCGAGGCATCAATAAATAAACGT